GAATAAACTGTTGAATTGCTGGGTTGCCAATTTATTATTAATTTGGATATTTGTATTAAAACCATTAATGTAGATGGGAAAAATAAATACCCAACAGTTGTAGTGCCTCCTATAATCTTGGGCAGCTTAGTCGTTAATTAATTATTAACTGAGGGAATGAGTTAATGGCTCAGTCTAAATCCAAAAGTGTGCAAGCGTAAGTGGCAAAAAAAAAATTTAAAAAAAAAACAAACATACTCCACAGTATTGATTCTGAAATTGTTGAGTCAGTTGCCGATTGTTTATTAGGGTATTTGAATTAAATCTATAAATGTATATGAGCAGGTGGGAAAAAAAAATAAATATTCAACAGTTATGATGTTTCTGATACTGTTGAGTTGTCACATATTTATTAGCTAGGGTGTTTGGATTAAATCCATAAATGTATATGTACAGAACTAAAAAATATAAACGTTGTTGTTGTAGGCCATTAAGGCATCTATAAGCTTTCCAGTATCGCCCTCTATGGTCGAGAATTCGACATCTGCCACATCCATACGTCATACCTGTTTTTTAAGGCGGCCTCATTCATGCATCCACAGATCGTAATTTTGATATATATATATATATATATATATATATCAAAATTACGATCTGTGGATGCATGAATGAGGCCGCCTTAAAAACGGGTATGACGTATGGATGTGGCAGATGTCGAATTCTTGGCCATAGATGGCGCCACTGGAAAACAAGAACATTTGCACCCCTTGCCTTAATGGTCTACGACAACAACAGCAATTGAATTATCCCTTTTAGTGCATTGTAAACAAATGAATCAGAAAGCTCTTTATATACATGGAAGTAGTGACAAGTTGAACTTTTTTATTAAAAGTGTACTAAACAAGTAAAAGAGGTATTTAAATTGAAGAGCATAGTAAATGAGAATCATTTTAAAAACATTCGAAAGCTGAATGCTTCGAAGTATTTTTTTTAAAAAATTGTATTATACTTAGAAATTTTAGAAGAACTTCTTTTACCTCAACCCACTTATTTTATTTCAAACAACTTGATTTCAATTGAAATTCCATTTAATGTATTAATGTAGTATATCCCTTTTTTGTAGCTTGACTTTTCAGTTACGGAATATGGCAATTAATCAGTTCTTTATCGGTAGTAGATTTTCCTTCACCGGCAGCGTATATTTGTATTAAAAGTGATTTTTATTTTGTCTGTATTTCAAGAATATAATATGCAAAAAGTGTTGTAGTTAATGTTGTAAAGATAAAGTTTAGAAAAACTGCAAAATTCTCAGTTCTACAAAAAAAGTGTATTATGTCTGATATTTTAAACTGATTTCAGCTTTATTTAATGCACTAATATTTAAAAAAAGTAAGGAAATAATTTTTTTCTCATTCAAATTTACGAATTCTACTTTAGTTATATTGATACACCAAAAGAAATAATAATAGTTCAAATAATCAATATTCAATTTACGATACAAAACGATATTTTCTAAACTTTACTTATTAACATAATTCTTATATTTGCCAAAATGAAACTTTATTTATGTTAATGCTATTAAATGTTATAAATAAATGTAATTAACAATTTCATTACCAAAACAAAATGTTTCCCCACCCATGATAATATTGCATTGCATGATTATCGAAATCAGTCTTACTGATCATTATTATCGTATTCGAATCCCATCATTGACGATAATAGTTGTGACAATGATAAATATCGTATTCANTTATGAACCTAAATTATTATTTTGTTTCAGTAATTAGCGTTAAAGGTTGTTGTTCCCTAATGATTAAGTATGAACAAAATGCTATTAACAGCATATTTTAAAATCAGGATTCTAAATTTAACCCAACTTATTGTTATCTAGCAATATGTAGGTAAGAAAGTGTCGATATATGCTTCTATTATTCTTAATAATAAAAGTCAAAACTGAACTTTTAAAAACAAAGTATTTATAGTGTCATTTTCGCCAACTAGTTAAATATTTTAATGAGTTTAAAATTGCATTTTTTTAATATAATGGTCAGGAAAGTTTTTTTAATTATGTTTTTGGACGAAAATAATGTATTAATTCTGTAAAGTTTGAAAGCTAATATCAAGAAAAAGTCGAACTTTTTTTTACAGAGAGAATGAGGCAAAGCTTTTATAATCATTTTGCTTGCGATCTCCATATGTAATTCAATGATGGATGGGATAGGGGTCGCGTTTATTTAAATAAAGCAAAGCAAGCTTGCGATCTCCGAGATTGAGATCGTGACGTAGCTTCAGCTCTAGAGAGGAATAAATCAGTCCTTATCTCTTTTCTTTAGCCCTGACTTTAGGAAAAGGTTATGATTGATAGTAACGCCTACTTTTTATTACTCAATGCTCTTATTCGAAATGCGAGCAGCATTTGGTAATCATTTTCAACGAAAGGCGTAAAGACATCTGGAATTTTCATCAAATCGCCCTTATTTTAAGAAGAAAAAAACAGTTGATGCCCGTAGCGTTCGTAAAATTTTAGAAAAATTTAATTATGCTTATGATACGTGCTGTTTTAGTTAGTAATATAGTAACCACACCCCAAATGAGGATTTGAATTTAGGTAGGCGTATACTTCTTCCCTCACTATAGAGAGTTCAGCGGATGTATTTCTACCTTAAACTTCTCGCCTCCACCGTCTTTTGAAAGGCAGCGAAAGCTAATCTAGATATAAAACGTAAACATCGTTTTCCAGAATAGAGTTAAACAGATAATAATTTATATAAGTATAAAAATAACCAACAAAAACTGGTAAGACTAGTACTTCATTCTTTCTTATTTTCGGGAAAAGTGAAATGTTCATGATTACAGAGATTTTTAAACAGTTTTAAAACATACATAGAGAACTATTTAACACCCGAGAAATTACAATAGGAATGATTTGTTTATAATTAACAAAACACTATATTTCTCCATGGCAGCAGCCAAAGGTTTTTCTATGATAAAGTTCTCTGCTCATTATTTGCTTGCATTTTGTTATTTTAAAGAACATTTTTCAGCATTTGAAATTTTATAGTTTTCTTTAACCTTCTGCGAACTCAATTTTTTCTTAACATTTTAAATTATTAATAGAGGTTATTATTGTCTGGTCCAAGTAGTGCAGAGAGAATTAAATAGCCTTTGGCGAATAGAGCAGAAACCTTTGGCGAATAGAGCAGTTGATAGTCAGTGGGGTTTGGGTCTATGTTGTAGAGAAGAACAATTTAAAATACGATCTCGAGAAAGTTTGACTTCGCGACAGTCAGGACAAGTATTGAACTTCTTTGGCTATACAGGGAATATTTTCATTTCTTTTAAGTGTCCTGTGCGTAGTCTGGTTATGGTAGTTGTAATTAGGTTCTGGAACAGAATTATTCTTAGGTGTTTTGGGAGGTGAGTTTATGCCTGTCTGTTGCATCAGCATCAATAAAGGTTAGACGGTCAAATCCTAGAATATCCCAACTTTTGGAAACTTTTTGAAATCTCGCCAAGTTGGAGATTATTACTGGGATCAACGTTGCTTATTAAAAAAAAAAACAATTTAAATTACTACAAATTTATTAAAAATTTTTAAATTGAACGCAAAACATTATACATACTTAATTTACTCATAGAAAACCACGTTTCTCTCATAACACTCCGACAAGCATCACGCGCAGCAGCAGTCAATCCACGCTTTCGACATCTCCTTTCAAGACTATCTACCGTATCCTTTCGATTAATCGAACTCATTTGTTCTCCACATTTAAGGTGTTCATTCTTTTTCGTAATTAAATTTTGATCCATGCACCATTCATTCATCGCTCTCTTACCTTTAGCATTCAATAAAGTTAAAAATTCGCTCGCCTTTTTCAACCAGTACCGCAAAAAATAATTGAAAAATAATAACGGTTAAAAAAAAATAGAATAATAACGATGATTCTAACAGCAAAAGATCAGAAGCATAATTATTTAAAAAATAAACCTTTTTACTTCTTTTCTAACGAAATCCAACTTTCGCGTATGTAAACATGTCAAATAACCAATCAGGTTTAAGAATTTTTGGTGGTGTGATAGTAGTGTGATCGGACGTTCAAAATTATCTTCCCGAAATATCTTCCGGAAACCTAGTTTGTACCGGAAACCTAACTGACTCCTGTAAAAATATTGACCTAGCCCTGTCTTCTGACTCAGCAATTTTTTAGCACGCGTATGAGACTTTTTAGACATAATTTGCATCAGTTCCGATGTTGCTTGTTATTTTCAAATCTTATGATTACACTGGGGATGAAATTATTTGTTCTATTTATACCAGTACTTGATCTTATCTAATTTATTCAGCTTTGAACTTACCTGTGGGTAGTTAAAAACTGAAATTAATTTTGTTCGTAAAACAAATTTTTTTTCTTCTTCAGAATTATGTTTCAAGTTTAGTTTATTAATTTTGTCTGAAGGTACAGTTTCATAAAGAACGTATAGCTTTATATTTATAAACATACGCTGGTCTGCTCCCTTGAAAAAAAAAGAGAAAAAAAACACTTAAAGTAATAAACATATGGCGTTCCACATTACCAAGTACACGTAGAAGAGAATAGTACGTAATCGTCACCGGTTGTTCAAGTTCCTGGAGGGCCTTTTACCTTTTCATCTGAAACACTAGATTAGGAGATAGTAAAAATTGATGTAAAATAGAAAAAAGATCGAAATATCTTTAAAAATCTAATCAAAGAGTCGAAAATTGCTGATTAGCTGGCAAATTGTATAGTGGGCGGAGTCAAGGATATTACGTAGTAGAGGGAACACTTGATTTAGTAGTCACTCTTGCTTACGAATATATCGTTTTTAAAGAGCAATAAATTTGAAGCTCGTAGATTTGAAATCAACAACGCGTTCGAAAATCTCTCACGACCGAAAAATGGTTTACTGTGTTGTCTTCAATTTTAATATATATAATTAAGAATATATTTCGCCTTTTTCTTTTTTTTTTTTTAAATAATTCTGTGATTATATTGCAGAGGATGACGTACCACCTCAACCTGAGCAATCTGAATTACCCGAGGTGAGTAGACATAATTTTAGATTTTGAAAAGTTCATGCTAAAAATAGAGATGCTACAGACGTTAATGAAAGTTTTATTTATTTATTTTACTTTTATATGTTTTGGAACCATTTTACTACTAATTTTAAAACTAAAAATAAAATTTATTACTTTGAGCAGAATAAATTTTTCTTATAAATATATTTATTATAATATCGTTTACAATCATAACATTCAAGAGATGGCAGCACGATTCAGTTATCGTCATATTCTGGTCCAAGGAAGCTTTTGTAAGAGCCCGCCTATTAATCAAGACACGCCTACTCTTGACGTAAATTTCAAAACTGATGAAAATGATGACTAGAAGGAATCAAAAACAGAAAATATAGATCAAGAATTTAATTCTCATCTATCCGCACCCAAAAAGGTCAGATAGTTGTCATCAATACTTAATAATGATAACAACTTTAGATAAAAAGAAATTCAGTTACTCAAAAAACGTGATGTTGGTGGAGTCATCGGTAAAGTCCTAGATGAACATGTACACGTAAAAGTGTTAAGCTTAGAATCCTATAGATTTGTCACAGACTTATTCCAAAGTTAAACATAAAATACCACACATTCCAATTAGAACAGGAGAGACCATTGAAAGTAGTCTTAATAAACATACCAGTTGAGTATGAAAAGGTGATATTTTTTCAGGTCTAGCTGCGTATGGTTTCACACCTGTACATGTCAAGCAAATCATTAGTTTAGTTTAGTTAGTTTTCAGTTCGCCATGTAAATAAGAAAAGTTTTTATCACGGTTTGGTCACCGCAGGTGGCCAGCCGACCAGCGAAGCGGGTTTGCGATATTTCACGACCACTGCGTAGCTTCTCCCCTTCAAATCCGGAGGTCGTCAGGACCCAGGCCCGTCGGATGAGGAAACCACACAGCCGTCACCCAGAAGACGCGCGTGCGGTCCTGCTCACCTAGTGCCCAATCCTACAACCCTACAGACCCACTAAGCCCGTCTGCCGAGATTTGCTGAAAGGGAAGGGGTTAGTACATAGAAAATTACAATTACGAAATTATTAAATAAAAGTACATAATATGATTTATTGCTCGATTGAAGTTGCTTTAAATTAGAAAATTGATTAACTTATATAGCAAATAAGTTACTTAAAGTCGTGAATATAAATTAAGATGGGAACAGCTGATTTTGGAATATATTTAAGAAAAGGCTGAAATGATAGACTTGTCAAGATCGTAAATTATGTGTTAAAAACCTAAAGTAACAGCATAAATTATTCAAAATTGCATATTTATTGACTTATTACAATTATTATAAATTACTACTAACAAGATAGCTTACATTGGGAGGTTATATTTAAATGGGCTTCACTTGGCTTGGAAATTAATTTATTATTAGAGGATACGGTTTTGCGCCAGTTAACATTCATTACTTGGTGTCTAATTACACTTAGTACTACTATTTCAGTCTTTAGGAGACTGCTGTTGCTTTATCAAATTGAAAAATCACTGTTGAAATTCGCTTTTTATTGTTCAGTATCAGTTGGAAATAGTTAAAACAGTCATCTGATGTGTATAGGTTATATTGTTACATTAACTGGTTGCAGACTATTACCGTTATCTATTGAGTTCAAATTATACAGGTTGAGACTATTGATATTAGTTATTAATTAGATGAAGTAATGTTGTTCCCCAGGGGATTTGCTCGAGAGAAAAAAAATTAGCTTGTTAAGAAACGTGGTCTCCGGAAAAGCAAAACAGCGTCTTGCTTTCGTCCTCCTGCAGTATCGACTACCGGAGCCGTAGAATTGGTCCTATCACCTCCGGGGTGGCATTGTAACTGGTACAATGCTTCACCCTACTTTTACTTGGAGATTTGGTACAACTGATTTTCCTTCATTGTGCTACCTTTTGTGCACCCTCTTCGCTCCCTATCTGAAAACTGGCCCACCACCTCCAAGAAGATTCAACTGGTGTTGAGATTTCCTTCTAACTCTGGTTGGAGATTTGTAGGTTTTCACTAAATAAATTAAAAAGTTTTTTTAATCCCTATCATCCCGATTTCCATCACTCGGGCCAATGACTAAAAATATTAAGTTCATTAAAGCATTAATGAGAATTAATTAATTTAAATTGAATGTCTATAGTTAAAATTAGTTAATAAAGATTACAAAGCTATTAACTATCGACTGTTTCATCACCCTTGGGTATACATAAATTGACTAGCGGCATTACATCACAAATACAAGTAACATCAAACACATTGCAATATCAAATAGCTAGTCACATAACAATTTTTTTTTCTTCAAAATATAAACATCTAACTTATATGGCCCAACGGACAGCTCAAGAGATGCCTAGCGCACTGCCTACTCCTAATGACTAGAAGTAGGTCCAGTGATGAGGCGTGTGTGGTGTTCAACCACGTTGGTTGCCATTGTGAGCCAGCCCGTGGTTGATTGTGGGGTGTGTATGTATTTTGTTTGTGTTGATGATGTTTTGATTGGTATTTGAGGATAGGAAAACAATTTGTGTTTACAAAAGCTGCTATTTTATTTATGTTTAAAATTTATACTTTGTTTTGCTGAATTACTTGTATCTGACTATATATTGAGTCTTACTTTTATAGTGAGGCTATACTATTCATTGTTTTAATGATATAAATCACGTGTCCTATGTAGTTCCTTAATTGTTTGTTGTGTTGTAGTGAGCCCCCAAAGGCTTCGTAATGATCCACATTTGGTCTTTTTAGGTGGTAATTAGCTGTGTATTCACAGTCGTGTAGGTAATACTCAGGCGTACCTACTGCTTGACTTGAACAGACGAAATTATTAAATAAACAGTACCCCCTAGAAGTACTCATTTGTTATTTGAACTTGGAGGAATTTGTACCTCTGACAGAGTTAATGTGCACAAGTGACCATTCAATACAAGGGGATTCTTCGGCAGGTGGAATCTGAACTCCTGTTCTCACAAACACAACGTTCTATCAACCAAGCTATCCCGGTCAAATCAAACACTTTGAATTTATATACATTTACAGTCTGCTACCACTTCTGCCATTCCTTTATTCTAACTTATCCAATTTACTGTATATTGTTAATATTCCAGTTGAGGTACTTCACAGACAGTACAAAGCAAGTAAAGAAGTTCTCACGAGGTGACGTTTTCAAGTGTTGGCAGAATTACAACAAAAAAAATTAAAACTTTAACTTTTAACAGTCTATCACTCTATAAAATAGTTTGCAAAATGAGCAGTAATTAGTAGTAGTTCCATAAGAATAATTATACACATTAAAAACAAATAGATTTTGTTATCTACCAGTAGAAAATGCAATTATTTATTTTCATATTCATAAAATCTTTCGTCACAAGATACATTTCTTGATTTGGCATACCTCAGTGTCGTGAATGCTGCTCTTCGAATCGAATCTTACAAATTCGTTGGAGGTAGGAGCATGCAATGAAATGAATATTCAATTGAGTACCATTATGAGCTGTAAAGCGTAATCACTTACCCATAGTAAAACATGAAACTGATGTCATTGAGCTCAGTCTCTTCTTTTTTATTGACAGTGACCGATTCCGGACAACGTCCGTTCTTAACTTTAACAGTCCAAACTATTTCGGTCGAAGTGTTTCAAATCGGATACAGTCATAGACTTCCACATCAAACAGTCTTCACTGCTTTTTATAAGTAGTGAGCGCAGACTTTTAAAAAAAGTGAACCAGTATTGCTCATTGAAACGATCTTCAAAATACTTGAAATAAATTTATCTTACTCCTTTGTTTATATATCTAAGAAATTAATTAGTGATAGTTAACAAGGAAATCAGGCAAACCAATTATATTCATTAATGAAATAGATAAAGCCATTTTTTTCACTACTTTCATGCTTCTGCTAGAATATCATTGGAATTCATCTAGAAAAGATGAATGGCGAAATCAATAAAACCGATTGGGAACTGTATAAAAACATCTTAGCTATTACAAACACAGAAGAAAAAATCCTGTATACTCCATCCTGCATTGATCTGAAAATTTCAAAGATATAAGAAGACATCAACAAAGATCATGCCTTAGCACAAAAACTTACCCATAAGTTTGCCCATGGTAAGCTAACCCATTGGTAAATTAATCCTTGGGTTGCAATCAACTACTTTAAACTTCCACCAAAACTAAAGGAATTAATTAAGCAACGAAACAATTGGAGCTGGAAGCTATAACATGGAATCTGTGATGCCAAATTTAGAAAAGAGGGGAAAAACTTAAATAGACAAATTAAAAAACGCTGCCGATACAACAGTCATAAACAATGGACGGAAAAAATAGAATCATTAAACACCACTGACTACTCTATTTAGGATATGAGATGGGTCCAATGGCTGTGTTCGCTTTCTGCCATTTTTTTTCCTATATTAAGGTTTGTGCCGTTCATAGACTAGATTATATATATGCCTTGCCTTGTCATTTCAGTATTTTAGTTTCAGTTATTTGTCAGAAAAGTCTTGCTCACCGGACATGGAGGTGTTAGGTTAAATGAAAAATATTTCCTTAAAATGTTTTATTCATTTTTCTTAAAATTATGTACAATTCTTTGATTTTAAGGGTGAGCCAGGAGAATTTGATTCGAAGGGAGATCCTGGAAGATTTAGTCCACCCGAGTTACCTAGAGAGGTAAGAACACATCAGTTATCAAAAATTATAGCTGATTAACTTTTTCGGTTTGCATAACAATATTACTAGAATTAATGCCAATTAAAATATTCCAAGCGGAAGTGCAGTAGTTGACGCAAAACATTTTCACTCCCTTAAGAAAACTCTACATACAATACAACAGTAATAAAAAATTTTATGTCTGAGTAACAAAGCGGTAGTCGGTCAAGTTGTCGCTGACATCGCTAGTTGTGAGCTGAGTGTCGTAAGTTTGATCCCGGTAGCCTACTAAACAACGGGCACGTGACGAGGAAATTGTTGTGGCTGAAAGATTTCTAGTTTTTTGGGGGTGTGAAAGTTTGAAGAGAAGGGTATTAGCTCAGGCACTATCCACTTCCTCTGATCGAGGGCAAATGTATGCAGCATTCCTGTTAGAAGATAAAACCTTGGAAAATTGAACTAGATGCTTGGTCATGGTTGGATGGTGTGATATGTACCAATAACAAACATTTTAGATAGGGATCTTATATCTAATTCCTTATCTCCAAAGCATGCATATATATATATATATTTATATATNTATATATATATATATATATATATATATTATAACTGTTAAATAATTTTGACAATAAGCTTCTCGTAAAATTTGTAAGAGGATCATTAGCCCTTCATTTGACATGTATTCACCTACCGGTGGTTCTCTTTTTTAGCAGCAGAGGGCAGCACAATAAGAGACGCTTATAACTTCCTCTGGAGGATACGAGTGCATTAATTTACACTTATCTGAGCTGGGAAATATATTTTACACATTTGTTTTTAAAGTTTAAAAAAAATTTAAATTGTTTCAAAATGAACAGTATATTATGGAAAAAATTTTATTAAACTGATTAAGATAAGAATAAGAGTGGTGTTAACATAATCCCTTTGATCGTTGTGAAAAAAAGAAAAAGAATTTCTAAGAGAATTTCTTCTGAGAAATTTATTTAAGTTTAAGTGAGATTTTGTGAGTTCGATTGAAATATTAATGAGTAATTTTTATAAATACATAACTGAAACAAACGCATAGCGTTAAAAAAAATAACAGTCACGTAATGCTATGACTTCTTGGAGGAGACCGAGACTTCTTTTAGGGTTTTCTATTTTTTTTAATATATAGATGCTAAATTTAAATCCCGCCCCTGTGACTGATTTCTAAAATTTGAATTCCGCGATTAACGGTTCAATAATTATGTAATTTTTGTTGATTGATAATTTTAATATGATTTTTAAAGTAGAATCTCGGTATACTAAAATAGATAATTATATAAAATATAATAATTCTATTCATATTAGTTGATATCATGGCTTCAAAGCTTAGCTGCTCAGCCAGGAGTAAATGGAGAAAAAGGACCTCATCCTCATGTTTTTCAGTTCACACAAGGACAGGTGGTACGTTGACGTTTTTTTTTTTATTATTTCTGTCTGAATATTGATGGTTAACTTTAATCGAAACTTTACAAAAGCGATTCAGCATTAAAATATCAATCACAAAAGGAAATTAGTAACCCATAGACAAAACGCAGTCAAGATCCTCCAGAAGGACTGCTACTTATTCATAGAAGGTTAAAAAAAAAAAAAAGCAGGTTGTAAGAACATTTTAATTTTTCTCGGCGGAAGTAAGATTTTCAAGACTACGACTGCTTATTATGCAGATGCAGAAAATATATATGCCTGATATGTTTATAACTTGTGATTTTATTTTATATTTTATAACCGTTGTTGAACAGCCGACCCAATTTCTTGGGTTTACGACTACTAATGTTCAACCCTGTAGCTTTGTAATTTCGAACCCAATCCAGAGGACAAGGGGACTCCTGAGTCAGTACTTTCTGATGGAACTAACCCACGTTTGCGTCACATGGAGAGGAAAACCACGAAGTCCTACCACGGTTAGTCTGACGGCAAGGGGACTCTAACCCGTGATCCGTCTACCATTAAGGATATTTTACGTCAGCACTGTGGTCGGTACAAGCCGGATGCGGAATTTGTATCAACCAGCCGTTGCTGGGATTCGAATCCGGATCACCTCGTTGGACGGCGAATGCTCTATCCCCTGAGCCATCACGGCTCATTAACTTGTGGTTGTCACTAGGAATCTAATTTTTTGAGCAAAAAAATATGGAGTGTCCATTCTACCAGTTCTCATTTTTCCAGAATAAGTAGCAGCTCTGATTCCATCTCCATAAAAATTAGCATTAGTCAGATCACCATTCATTATTATCACCGTGAAAAGGGGTCAATATTTCTTAATACTATGTTGTTGAATCACGTGTTGCATTTTTCCAGCTTACCTGTCAAGACAGGGGACGAGGATAAGAGATATTGATTATTCAACAGTTAGAGCTAAATCTTGAAGTTCTGTAACAAATTTCGTTCAATTTTTTTTATCATTTTAAAAGCCTTAATTATATATTCTGACAGTTGACCACAGGGCCAACATTTTATTATATTTCATTGAGTAACATTTTGTGAGTAAGGAACTCATTTTGAACAGTAAGCTTTAAAAGGAAAATACCACCATAGATACAAAACTTTTGCTGGAATTATTGAATTTCCTCATACAAAGAGCCAATTTTTATGGTGTAAGAAGCTAACTTTGAATACGTTAATTAACTATATACCAGACAACTTCTACTCTATCGAATTTTGACTTTGGTAGAAAAAAAATAATTAAAATACAATGAAAGGTATGAATTATTATTTTTTGATACACTAGGGTATAAACATGATATCGTTTAAATTATTTGCATTTTTAGGAATTTATTTTTAATGTAGTGGTTGTGAAAATCATTTTAAAATCAATTTGTAAATCCGAACATAAAAATACTAGGTGAAATCTGTAAAGGTTGGCAGCTCTGTTAACTAGTTCTAACTATATCTTAAGCTATGAAATCAGAAACATAAACGTACTTTCTCTTACCGAGTATTTTTAACTCGTTGAATGCCATGTGGTTCATCGATGACTGGCACTGAGTTTCTTTGTAGAGTCACGGGGGTCACGGGTGACCGGCGAAGCCAAGATTATTAGAAAACACAATTCGAGTAAATTTTTTATTTTTTTGTATTATTATCGTTACTGAAATGGTTTGAAGAAGTTAATGCAATATAGAACACACAAAAATAGCTTTATTTATATACACAGAGATGCCAACTTGAACTAGTAGTTTATTGATTGTGATTCTTAGTTTAATAAATTCAATTTAGTTGATTTTTATCCACCACTATTTTTAAACAATTCGTTGCTTATATAATTTACCAATTTTTTTACGTGTGCCATGCTAAATCTTATAAAAATCTAGCAAAATCTGCCTTTGTAAATTTAGTTTGTTGTTATTTACCGTTTGGCCAGACGAGCAAGTCATGTAATATTAGCGTGGCATTCAACGTGTTAATAATAATTTATTATATTTTAATATAAAATGAAATGGTGGTCAAAAAAATTTCAAATGGGTGAAGTTTTAAATGACAAAATACAAAATCAGTCAAATAGTTTTTGAGAAATAAAATTTTAAAAACACGATTTTTTTTCAACCGATTTATACCGAAATCGAACTTTTATCAAACATTCGTCTGATTATACTGTTTCTATTGTTTCACTTCCCTCCAGGAATATAATTAAAATATCCAAATATATTGTATGAAAAGGTAAATTTATATTTTAAAATATACGATAATTAGATCAAAAGTAATTTAGGAGTATGCCATTTTATTTTACACACCGTAAGTACCAGATTTCTGAGGAAATATCTAATTCTCAACATTTATATTAGTGCGTGTTAAAATTCTGTCGAGTCGCAAAGTCCTCCATGTTCCCATAAAAAATCAATATCTCTGGGGGTACTGGATTGAAGACCGATCGTTCTCTGATTCAGGTTAAAATTACGATCTGTGGATGAATGAATGGGTCCGCCTTATAAACAGGCGTGACGTATGATGTGGTAGAAGTCGAATTCTTGGCCATAGATGGCGTACTGAAAAACAAGCATTGCACACTCTGCCTTAAATTTGCTCGGTTTCACCAAGCAGACTTGCCCGTGTGGCAAGTGGCATTAGAACCAACCAACCAACATCTTAGTGCGTGAAGATATGATGATTAGATCAAAATCTATTTGGATATTATATTTTAGTTATTTAAGGTACATAAGTTGTTTTTCAGCGGATAACTTTCCATGCTTACAACTTATTTCGCCAGAAATATGATTAACAAATCAAAAGTTATTGAAAATGTTTTTCAAGGGGAAATTTTTGACAATGGTCATTAATGCGTAATCAAACATTTTAATTTTTTCGTTCTTAACCTTTCTCTCGTTTTAATTCTATATTCAATTTTATTTTATTCTTGCAAACTTAAATAAGCCGCCTTTAAAATGAAACATAACTAAGACATATTTTTGCTAGCTCACAATGAAACTCTTGATTCAATTAAATTGAATTATTTATATCAAAATACAATCGTTTTTTAATTTATAGTTTGTATTGTCAATATATATTGTTCTTTAATTTATAGATAGTGTGAAAAATTAAAAACAATGGTGTATTTTGTAGGGCCCAGTAGGACCACCGGGACAAGATGGATCATCAGTGAATAATTCTGGAAATTTTCCACTATATTATATATATGTTTTCCCAGGACCACCTGTAAGTTGCACTTAATTTCATTAAATTACTAATGCTGTGTCGTATAAAGTTCGTTTCATAACCACTGCTCTTAATATGTTACTTTTTAAATCCATTTTAGTAATTAATATATTAATATATTTAGTAAATTAGTACATTAATCAAGAAAAAAAAACACAAAAATGATATAAGCTTAAGAGTTGGCGAATATGCGTTAAAAAAGAGGAAAATTAAAACATGCAAAAGAGAACCAATTTAAAAGCTGGATAAAAATTAGAAGGTTTTTCTATAATTCATCTTTTACTTCTCGGGCAATAAATCAGGTTTTGTAATGTCTCTTTTCCCCCGCTTAAATGTGGTATTAACGTAAAAGCAAAATAAGAAGCGTAATGCATGTACCATTTACCCAAGAATTTACGCTTAATTTACACATCTTGTTATAAGTGCTGCATGGGTAACTAATCTAAGTCCGTATCGAGCAATAAATCAGGTTTTATTTATGTCTCTTATCCGTATCGACCTGTATCATGTCTGAATCGAGCAAATGTTTCCGATTCTACAGCCCTACTTTATCCTTCTCCTTTTTTCACCTCATTTACATTATTAATATCTTTTCTTAAATGTTATTTAAAACTTATTTTTACAGGGTGAACCTGGACCACCAGGGTTTCCAGGGATGAAAGTAAGAAATTTTATGTTATTTTTTTTTTGTAATATTGTCGATATTGGTGTCCAAAATTAAGGTCTCAAACATAAATTGATGAACTATTGACTGAGTTGACCTCGAGGGCAGACGGTTGATCTCGAGTGCAGAGGGTCAAATTACCCAATTCCAGTAAGGCTTCAAAAACTGATGCTAAACTATTTCTTTTTCTAAACCGAAGATTGATATTGTACTATATAAAATGCAAATTTCGCCAGTTTTACATTCGGCAAATTTTAGTGATTTTTAATTTAGAATCGTTTTTAAAATAATGTTTGTTAACTTAGTTTATTCTATTAAATATTAAGTAAAGTTTGTTTACAACAGTTTCTGAATTATCCATACTTCTTTAGTTGTCCATTGGCGTCACAAAGATAACAATGTTGTTGACTTCAAAATAACCTCAGTTCAGATGTGTGCCTGTATTTTTGAAAGCGGAATAAGTGCATTTTTTTCCATACTGAAATTTTTAAGTGTTAGCATTTGAGTGAATTTAAAAATGATGGCGAAGGTATAGAAGCTTGAGTGTTTGTATTTAACACTATAGTTTGATTAAACTTTAAAATGCAATAATGTTTATTAATTCATGAAAAGAAATAAGCGATTTTTAGCACCAAATAGACTTATTCCACCTTTTAAAAAAAGGAAAAAATAAACGATTTTTATATCTTAAGAACTATTTCTTAGACCAAACATACTTTTTCGCGTTAAATGAGTTTCATTTTCAAAATGCAATAAAGGTTATTAAAATCATTAAAAGAAATAAATGATTTTTACTTCATTCAAAACATTTGACCATTTTTTCAAAAATTGAAGATTTTAAAACTTTTAAAAAAACTTTTTATGTTAAAGTGTGGCATTTCTTTTCAAGCCTTTCGCAAAATATGATATAGCAAAGCCTGTTTCTGAAATTAAGAAAAATTTCAAGAAACAATTGTGACTTGAAATAAAATACTTTTCAGAGTGTTATGAAATGTTCATAATAATTCCATATTTATTTTTTTTAAAAAATCAATAAGTAAATGCCCATGTTGGTACATTTTTGACGCAGAAAATGGCCATCGGAGGGTTACTGACAGAGAATTTTTTGATCACTATTTCTTGCATTTTGTCACCTTGGGTCCGGTGGTCGCCGTTAATTTTACCCTATATTATCAAATCAATATCAAAATAGAAAATAAGAATAGACATTTTCTCTTAATGATCCATCTAAAGAAAAGAAGAGAAAAGAAGAATTTAAAGAAACTGCTGAAGTTTATTTATTTATTTTTTAATCTTTACAGGGCGAGTCTGGAGACACAAGAACAGTAGTAAGACATTCTTTGCTATTCATTTTTTTAATATCATTGTATATTAATCAATATTTATTTTCGAATTTTTAAAAATATAGCTAGTATTTACGACATTTTACAAAAACAGTTTTTAATAAATAATTTTTTTATGATGACAATGTTTAGTGAATAATTGAATTATAGAATAACAATTAGAATTATAGAATAACAATTAAATGTCAGTTTTACAGTAGGATGGTTATTAGTCACATTCTTGTATGATGTTATAACTAAATTAAATCTATACATAATCATTATTGATATTTATTTTTTAATATCATTGTATATAAAGCAATGTTTATTTATGGATTTTTAAAAACATAACTAGTGAAAACAACATTTTACACAAGCAGTTTATAACAAGCAATATTTTATGCTGACAATGTTTAATGAATATTTGAACTTAGAATTATAGAATAATAATTAAATGTCAGTTTTAAAGTTTGATAGTTATTAGTCACATTCTTGTATGATGTTATAACTAAATTTAATCTATACATAATCATTATTGCTATTTATTTTTTAATATCATTGTATATTAATCAATATTTATTTATGGATTTTTAAAAACATAACTAGTATTTACAACATTTTACAAAAGCAGTTTTTCATAAACAATTTTTTTTATGCTGGCATTGTTTAATGAATAATTGAACTTAGAATTATAGAATAATAATTAAATCTCAGTTTCACAGTATGATGGTTATTAGTCATACTCTTGTAATATGTTATAACTAAATAAATCTGTACATAATCATTATTGCTATTCATTTTTTAATATCATTGTATATTAAGCAATATTTATTTAGATATATTTAAAAACATAACTAGTATTTACGACATTTTACAAAAGCAGTTTTTCATAAACAATTTTTTTTATGCTGGCATTGTTTAATGAATAATTGAACTTAGAATTATAGAATAATAATTAAATATCAGTTGCACAGTATGATGGTTATTAGTCATTCTCTTGTAATATGTTGTAACTAAATATATCTGAACATAATCATTATTGTTATTTATTTTTTAATATCATTGTATATTAAGAAATATTTATTTATGGATTTTTAAAAACATAATTAGTATTATAGTGGGGCTTTCAGGAGAACTCTTTCAGACACTCGTCTCGCATCGTGGCGGGTACTATGGTTACGAGGAAACGACATTTCGAATAGGGGTGTAGGGTGAATAATTTTGTCTTAATCTTGGCATACCGTCGTGAGTAAACCAGTCGACACCTTCTTTCCTTCATTTCACCCCCATTAGAAATGTGCTCTCGCTTGTTACCATAGTAGCAGACTGTCCCAGACTTTTAGTCTGGAGGAGTTCTCCTAAAAGCCGCGCTATAATGTCATTTTGCAAATGCAGCTTTTAATAAACAATTTTTTATGCTGACAATGTTTAATGAATAATTGAACTTAGAATTCTAGAATAATTATTAATTGTCAGTCATATAGTGTAATGGGGTTATTAGTCAAGCTCTTGTATGATGCTATAATTAAATAAATATATACAAAATCATTAAGTACAACAAGGTAAGGCACATCGTAAGGATTGAAAATTGCAAGAAGGTACCTCCATTTTATGGATTGGATGGTCTTACCCACTTGTACTGGTACTTTTATTCTTTTAAATTATCTTAATTTGAATTTTTTTAATATTTGTTGTTAAAAACTATTGAGATTTAGCTGTTTTTCTTATTTCATTGAATTGGGGACTAACTTGCAGAACTCGCCGAGTTGATTTCCAAATCATTAAATGACGATGAAAGAGCTATTTTGAGTGGAATTACAGTTTTCAATAATATTGTTAGAAAAAATGAGATTCAGATAATTTAGAAAAATACAAAACCGTTACCGATGACCATAAACAACAAGTCCATAACTCTGAAGCTCCTAGGGTAAGGTAATCAGACGTCCTCAAATTTTGAGAACAGTGCTCGAATTTCAAAATTTGTCCTCGTGCACCTTTAATCTGAAATTCTAATAATCCTCGGATTTCATCGAAAATATCTGCAGTGAAATATCAAAAAGTCAGGAGTACGCATACTTTTTCCCTCAAGATGATTTTATCTTACAGATAATTCAAGCGAAAAGCAAAAAGCAACATGATTTACAAATCTATCTGATCCCATCTGAGAAGCAGCAAACCTATCTGATCATGTTAAATTGGTTGCAGAAAAGAATTCCAATTTAAATTCTTATGAGCTCATTTATTTTACATGCGTTAAACAACTGCAGAATATCATATTATTTGTCAATACTGTTCAGTTAATGAAATCAAATTTGATGAAGATAGTTCTATATCTGATATTTGGTATAAACTAAAAAATAAGAAAAAGGATTTAAAAAAAATTGTGATCGCCTTATTACGACCACTGGTCACCCATTGGTCAAATGCTTTTTTCTCTCTGGATTGACTCCGTTAAACGCCACAACATTTCAAATCATGGGTTGCAAAAACTGTCTCAATTGATGTTTGTCGTCGGACTGATTTTCATATCCTGCCTATCTACGTGTTTCAAGACGTCACGAAATACTTTTCCTTCTTCAGTATTCATATTCATATTAAAATCACTGTCAAGCCAGTAATTATACATTAATAGTAAAAAGAATATAAAAATACTTTACGTTATTATTGTGTAAATACATTGAAAATGCCTGCTAGTGAAAAAAAAAAGAAAAACAGCAGCTGTCGCCATAGCAACGCATGCAATGACGACGCATGCGCACTGTTTACTATTACTCTTGAACACAGTTGAAAAGTGTGTGCACGCCATCAAATCCAAACCAAGACCCATTTTGCGAATGGGTAAAAAAATCTTTGTTGATCATGCAAATTAGTATTTTCTATAAATATATCAGCGCCTCAAATCATAAAGTATTTTGAGCATGTTCCGTTGATTGGTTAGAAATCTAGTCACCTTTGCTCATGGGCTTATAATGGCAATTTCGGCCACGCGTTGCTATTCATTTCTCAATCTTTACAATGTGTATTAATTCCATAGCAATATTGTAACCGCTTTACTGAATATGGCTAAATATAAATTAAAAGGTTATACATAATAATAGCCGCACACTTGACCTTTTTTAATGCTATCAATTGACAGATGTATCAAAAAACTTCATTTGAAGGGGAAGAATTATAATAAACCTACATCACGATTCTACTAACAACATACAATATGAAAAAAAACCCATATTGCATTAGTTTGAAAATGCTTTGAAATAAAGCTTGCAATTATTGCATGATTATCCTAAATACAGCATAAATATGTATGAAAACATTAAACGGAAATAAAAACGACTATTTTCCCTTCATAATGCATTTTTATATTTCATAAATTAATAATTATAATTAAGTCTCACATTTCTGTAAATACAAGATACATATGCTTTATTTGATATCTTTATCTTTACAGATAGCTGATTATTTTCCACCTAGAGATCTACGGGGAATGAAAGTAAGAAATTTGATAATGCTAATTTTTTTTCTAGTAATACAGTATATTTACATACAAATACAGTGATTGAGTTTCGTGTGATATATATTTGTCATTGGTAGAGAACTAAAGCCTAAATTTTTAAATACAATTTGAATTTGCGTAAAAGATTTACTTAGAATTTTGAGCATTTCCGTTAAAGCTGGATATTTTGGGTAGCTCAGTGTTTGGCGCGAAGTGATTCTGTGATGTCAGGCAACGCCTCCTATAACTGAAAGCCTCCACACGGTTTTTTGTAGGTAGTCCGATTAGACCACCATGAAGATAAACCAATTCGTGAAAGAACCATTTAATATGAAATCTATTAAAAATTAGAATGTGGTAACAAATATATGTCTAAAAATCTGTTTAATTTATGAATATAATTGATTTGTTTTACTTACTTGTCAACCACTACAGATTCAACTCTCAAATATATATGATAAATTTATCTCAAGTACTTTTAAAATAGAATTTTGGTTCATGCGTACAAGTGGAGCGCTTTTTAAATAATCTGCGCAGACTACTTATAGGAAACCGTGTGGAGGTTTTCTGATGTAGGAGGTGATGTCTCAGGTCATATTTGTATAAGCTTTATGCTAGTACATTTCCGTTAAAGATTTTATATTTATTATTTATAAAATTAAATTATTTATGTTTAGTTCTGAACATAAGATTTATTGATAAAAATAGCAGTGCATTACTTATGTTACTCCTGGAATAAAATATTTTCTGAAACTACGAAAAATTAGAGGGTATGTATTTATATTAGAATCGATTTTTTTACGGGGTTATTGCAGGTCCTAATTTTTTTGACGCAAAGTGATTACGTAAATTTAACAAATTTCAATATTTTATGACATTGTTAATTGCCACTACATATTTTTGTTAAAAGATTCTGTTTGTGTATGATAAATGCAATGATAAATACGAGAATAATAAATAAATCCGTCTGGAATTCATCATCAATTTATTGAGATTTATGGTGAAAATGGAATGGTGAGGAAGTTGGATCAACAGTTCAATGGTTGACGCTCCATTGCTCAAATTGACTACTAAAGGATCAAATTTCTTGTTTACGGTAACCAGTGATGAGGCCTTCTGTCTTCTAAAAGGCAGAGATGCCAACTGCTCCGGACACACCAAAATATTTAAATAGATCAGTAAATAACTACAAACTAAATGTAACAAACATTTGACTATTTACTTGCTTTTTAAGGAGTGTCGCATGACATAACTATTAAAAAGTGTTAAATTATATAAACCTACAAATTATTTAGAAATAGTGGTGATAAAAATCTAATAAATTGAATTTATTAAATCATGAAACACAATTGATAAGCTACCATTTTAAAATATTTATTTGCTGTCTGGAGCAAGTTGGCATCTCTGAAGAGGTATTGGTTCAAAGTGGGTAACCTTCTGTTGTCAGTGATGGTTTTTATTGCAAAAGTGAATAAGAAAATTCGTGAAAACTGATAGTTCACGATGCGAATGCTTCGTGATCAGTTTTCACGAATTTAACAAAAGCTGTTTTGCATTAAATGTTCACAAATCGTTTAAATAATCTCTTCCTCACTAGCAACATCTTTATTTGAAGGGAAATTTCCCACTGTGATAGATATCTAAATAAAGGTGGGAATTATTAGGAAAAATAGTTTCTATGATACACTTTCAAGTAAAAATAAATCTTACATTAAAAAAAAATCTTATGCAGGTTTTCCCAAGACTTATTTTACGAACGAGTCTCATGTTTTTTCCTCAGTATATTAAATAATACAACTAAGCTGAAGAAAAAAAATGTAAGCATCTATTTTCCCTCAATAGTCGACAAAAACGTTCCCCATTCCGAGAAAGAACATAATGCTATCTATTCTATTAAAAAATTTTCTTTTGCAGGGTGAACCTGGATCTCCAGGATTGCCGGGAGCACCAGGTCTACCGGGTATTCCAGGAATTAAAGTAAGAAATTCCGATAATTATAATTTTTTTAAAAGCAATGCTCCATTTTTGATTATCATAATATTTGTGAGATTGGTGATAGTTGTTAATAATTCTCAAAATACAGTAACTCTTCTTTTTATGATTCTTTGAATTTTTTATTTTATTTAGTGCGGTAGTCGTTTCATCGTCATTGAATATAATATTATCTGTAGCAAATGATAACCTATGATTATCGATACTAAGTAATCATAATTCAAGTTTCGGGCAGTTACGCCAAATTCGTCAATACTTTTTTAGAGAATTTCGCCATGTTGCTTCGGTTCGTCAGCATACATCACTAGCGAAGTGTGTGTAATTTACCACTCTATTTTGACTTAAAAGTGAGTCTATTTTAAAATAAGAAATTATTGATCTGATCGGTAAGGCATATTAAAAACTTTTGAAAGTGACTTTTTGCACTGATACATCTTTTTCAACAAACTTTACAGCTTTGAAAGCGTGTTACCATCGGCGTTCTTTTCTTCTTCTTTTTTTCTTCTTCCTATTTTGCCTTGATTCAAGCCTCTCTTTTTTTCTCATATCTGTTTAGAATTTATATCCATTCATGAGAATTGTCCAGTACAGATATCAGGAGTCGTGATGGCTCAAGAGATAGAGCGTTCGCCTTCCAATGAGGTGAACGGAGTTCGCATCCAAGCGATATATAGTCGATACGAGTTCTGCTTCTGGCTTGCACCGACTACAGTGCGGAAGTGAAATATCCTCAGTGATAGATGATTTGATTGATTGATTTGTTCATTAACGTCGCACTAGAGCTGCACAATGGGCTATTGGCGACGATCTGGGAAACATCCCTGAGGATGATCCGAAGACATGCCATCACAATTTTGATCCTCCGCAGAGGGGATGACACCCCCGCAGATGGGATGACACCCCCGCAGAGGGGATGACACCCCCGCTTCGGTAGCCCGACGACCTGCACGCGAAGTTGAGCACTTAACGATATAACAGTTTAACGAGGACCAATACCGCACACCCTCGGTCCCTACGCAGACTGATCCAAGTGGTCACCCACCCGCACACTGACCGCAGCCAGTGATGCTTGACTACGATGATCTGCTGAGAACCGTGTCTTAACGATCAGTCCACTGCGGGACTAGTGGTAGATGGATCATGGGTTAGACTCCCTTGCCGTAAGGCTAACCGTGGGAAGTTTTCGTGGTCTTCATCTCCGTGTAACGCAGATGCTGGTTGGTTCCATTAAAAAGTCTACCATGAAAGCAAATTTCTCCCAATACTTCATCCATGAGTTCCCTTCTCTTCTAGATTGGGTTCAAAACTACAAGGCTACGGAGTTGTGCATTAGTAGTCGTAAGCGCAAATTTGGGTCGGCTGTTCAACGATGGTTATAAAATAAAATATAAAAAGTACAGATATCAAGTACAGGAAATTCGGGGGAGCCACGTTAGGATTGTGTGAGAATCGTTGGCACCTTTGAATTGGTCACAATTAAGTTGTAGTAGCAAAGTTTTTCTTCTCAATGTTTAACGCATTGCATTGCCCAATGTATTGCCCAAAATTGTTTCAATGCCAATTTAATTAAATCTCAAATTACCCTCTGAGTTCAAGCGTTCAGTCACAGACGAAATATATGCGCCAATGACCTTCTGCCTGACCCTATGCAAAACATATGCGCCTCTTAAATAAAATTTTAAAAAAAATTAGCAGCCGTTTTCATTTCATAATGTATACAAAAAATACAGAATTGCGAAAAAGAACTTAAATTCTAATTAAAATTTTATTATTGCAGGGTGAACCTGGAAATGGAGGAGGTGTAAGTGAGAATTTTTTCTTATTTTTAAACATCATTGCATATGAAGAGATTGGATGTTAACTATAGATTTTTAAAAGACAGTTCTTACTTATGTGGTGAAAATTTTTTCTCGTTAAACGACAGGTATAATATACAATGAGTTTTTGTACAGTGAATAATGAGTTATAATGTATAATAGTTTTGTCTAACGATCATTAATTTATATATATTGGAATTTTTGAATAATGAGTTGCAATGTATATGAGTTTTTGTCTTATGAATAATGAGTCATAATGTATATGAGTTTTAGTGTAATGATTAACATGTTGTAAAGTATAATGAGCTTTAGTCTAATCAAGTTATAATGTATATGAGTTTTACATGATTTTGACTCGGAAAAAACGAAACTTCAGGGAGTATGAAGTCACACATAAGTGATGAGTGACGTCATACTGATACAGAGGCGGCACTGAGTGGAATAAAAGAGAACAGATTTATAATCCAATACCTCATATAAAGAAGCTTCTTCATCTCCTTAAGAAAGAAGGCTACTTAGACTACTTAACCCATTTGTGCTTAGCCAACACCTTCTAGAAGTAAGGAGGCCTCAGCAAGGATCAATTTAGTAGTCCGATGTGACGAAGTTAACTGCTCAGTAGATGAAAAATAAGAAAGATGTCATTACGTTCGGGGTACTAAGCTGCGCAGTGGTTGAAAATACGAAATATGTCATTACGTTTGGACTACTAAGGGATATTTATGGTAACCCGTGCTGAGGCCTGCTCTTTTCTAGGAGGTGTTGGCTTAGCGCCCTTTTTTAACCCTTTATAAGGACATTTTTTCTAGTATTCTTATGCTAAAATATTCATGGGATTAAGATTTATTTATATAAAGGAATTTATTTAAATCATTAAATAAAACTAGTCGGATTTTTAAGCTCTTTTGTTTTGGTGGAATTTTACGTAAGAAATTTTACGTATTGTTAAGGATAGCAATAAGCCTGAACTTTTATATTTATAACTAACCGAATTTATTGAATCTATGTTTACAACTATAAATAAACTCGATGAGAAATGATCAAATGAACGAACGCACAATGTACTCGAGAAAATGGCTCCTGAAAAATTAACGGTAACTGTTTTTGACCCAAACTTCAATGTTATCCACATGTATGTAAACAATGCCCTTCATTGGTGTTTTGTTTTTGCTTTTCCAAAGTTATTAAAAGACAACAGCACAAATGATAGGTGGTAAAGAAACTTCCCATTGATATTTAAAAATGAAGGAATTTGGTGGGAAGTATACTTCCCATATCCTTATAAAGGGTTAAATGAATGGTTCCTTTTATTTTCAAATATGAAAAACATTGATTAGTACAGGTTTTCCATAATAAGAATTTATTTATCAACAATAGCATAGTTTTGCTTTCGATAATGTGTATTTAGATATGAAGTCAAAGCACTGTGTTTTTATGGTTAATGTGATGGATAAAAAAAAGATTTAGTTTATTTATTAGCATAATAATATACAATATGGTTTCGTTTGTCTAAAAAGGAAAAAAAATCTAAATCAATACTATTGTGTGCAGTAAAATATCAGAATTATGATGAATTACTGTATTATTAGTTGATAGACGAATAATAAATATTTTGATTTTAATATAATATATCAAAATAAGCCGTGTTGCAATTTATTACTTTGTCGAAAAGTATTTATTAATTTTTGCAAAGTGATAATTGAAGAAATCAATTTTTAGAACTGTATATATTATTGATGTATCTGGGTGCTCAAGTTATTTTTTATTTTTTTACAATCTTATTATGAGCTGAGTTTTTAAACTGTTAATCATGTGGGAGGAGGTGCTTGTTGAAAATTATTTACAGAATCATGGTAATGTTACCGTTCAGTTTAATTATTAGTCTCTTATAAAACATTTAAATTAAAAAAACAGGATAAAATTGTTTGTCCAAAATAATTCATTTAAGTGGAAAGAAAAGGAAAGGAAATTATAAATTACATAAGAAAAAATACGTTAAAGATGTTTTATGAAAAAATAAAAATTTGATCCTTCTAGATATATGATTCCTGGCCAGGTTTACCAGGACCAAAAGTAAGAAAATCAATATTACTTATTTATTTTTCTAATATTAACGTATTTTTGGTAGAAATGATTGTTTTTTTTTTTTGTTTCAACAATTTTGTGTTTAACAGAAATTTCATAGACATTCTTTCAAAAATGTTTTAGGTTTACAATGTCAAAAGGATTTTTTAAACTCTGCGGACTGGATGTGTAGCGGTCAGGGAGCTAACCTCACATCAGAAAGGTCCTGAATTCGAAACCCGGAAAAGACACTGTTGCTTTCTTTCATTCTCTGTACTATCATATTGTGATAGTAACGTTGGCCCACTTAATACGGCGCCCCTGAAAAATCGGCCAACAAAACTGCCCTACTGATGCCTGAATAACAAGTGTCTACTTTTTAAAATTATTTTATCCCGTAACCATTGGTGGAAAATATATATCCCACCAAATTTCATAAACTTTTAAATATTGATTTGAAAATTTTTTTGCGTCCATCTTCTGATTATTTTCAGAAAATACAAAAAAAGGTAATAAAAAGCTTTGTTTACATCAATATTAGTTACAATAAAGGCTAGTCAGAGGTCAAGTAGAGAGGCCAACACAGGAGAGCTATTCTTTTAGGTTCCTCATGCATTCGCTATGCTATTTTATCATTTGTTAACAATTTTATTTCTGTTTATAAGCACAGAGTTTATAAATTCAGTTATTTATAAGCAGAAGTTAATTGCAAATTTCTTTAAAATAGGTAAAATTTTTAAAATTTCACCCCACATGCCCTCACAAAAAAATGGTCTTAGAAATCAAAGTAATTTTAGGTAACAAACTGTATAAAATTTCTTTTAACAAAACAAACTTAATACAAAAAACAATATTTTAACATAATATTTATTACCAAAGAAAATGTACTTTCACGGATTAACAATAACTTTCTGTTTATCGAAAATTGTTATAACTTTCAGCTAAGTTGTCAAATTTGGCAGTTTTATCAATACACAATGAGAAAATTTAGTATAATTACGCCAAAATAAATATCGTACTTCAATGGTATGTGAAATTCAGTAGTTTCAGTGTGAAATGCAGTTTTAATTCAGTGGTATGTGATTTCATTATGATGTATTGACTCATTATGAATGGAGAAAGGCGATCCAAGTTAGCACATTTTCTGTATACAGTTTTGTTTTTTAACAGCTTTCTTTCATACAATTTTGAATTTGATAACGTTCGTTTTATTAGTTTTTATTTAATTGAAAATAATAATTTTGATTCAGTCTAATTTGTTAGCAAGTGATAAGAATGAGGAGGTATAGGACGTCATTATGATGTCATATTTCAAGTATGTGTGACATAATAATCCCAGAAAGCATTTAACCGTCGGAATTTTCTTTCTATTGTCTCAAAAATGTTTGTACTAAAAATCTTTTTTCAATAAAGCAAAAATATTGCAGTTTCAAACCTTTCATCCTAAGAGGACTAAAAATTATTTTTAAAGCTTTTTTTAAAAATAGTGCCACTTAGGTAAACTGGTGACTTATGTCTATCATGACGTCTTAGCTGACGTCACACTAGCGATAGGATCAAATTGCAGTGTCCATTAAAATTTCATGACAAGGTGGATTTTAGCTGAGCATACAAGACTTTGCGAAAAGAAACCTTATAATTACCTAGATTTAAGATTATTTTCACCTTAAGACTAGCTTTTTTAAAGGAATTTTTTCACGCTTGAAACCCTAAGACAACATTCATTTAAGATTTTTATATAGAAGGTTGTTTTTCAAGGTTTAGGATTAGGGTAATGTGCGAAAAATACAACAGATTGTCCCAGATCTCGTTTTAAGGTTAGAAGGTTTACGCGTAAACAGCAAAACAAACCTTTTTCGGTTTACATTAAAAGGTTTTTGCTGAATGAAAATAAACCTTATTTTGCTATCTGGGTAATGAACAACCTAGGAGCAGTGGCGTCCCATGAATGAAAAATACGAAACAAGTTAATGTCCGTTTCGCATTTTTCTACTACGATGTAAAACCGCTAAACGAAAATAAGAATTAAAATCATCATTATTTTCAACCATCCACAAAATTTGTACTCACATGCATGCCAGAGGAAATAAAGACTTCATTACGTTCTTTTTCGTTACAGGGTATGTCTGGATTGCCAGGAGTTCCTGGAAGTCCAGGAGAGAAAGTAAGAAACTACGATTTTCTAAAATTTTTTCAAAAATAATTTATTGTTTTCAATGTCATTTTTAAGATAAGCTATTTTTATCGTATTCTTTTAAGTGTCCTTTTTTATTACTTTCGTTTAGTTGGTTTTCAATTAAAATGAAAAAAAGGAATTATTTTCGAGGAAGAAGGTTCTAAGAGTCAATTTTAAAAGAAAAATAATTATTTCAGGAAAACTCTTTATTGTGTATTAATTAACTGTACTACATTAATTTTTTTTTATAACCGTTGTTGATCAGCCGACCCAATTTTGTGTTTACGACTACTTATGTTCAACTGCGTAGCCTTGTAATTTTGAACCAATCAAGAAAAAAAGGAAACTCCTGAATCAGTACCCACAGAGGTATGATTTGTTATGGGAATATGAAGGACTTTGAGACTCGGACAGATTTTACGTGTATCAGTCACCATTTACTACACGCTGAATCTTCGGCCGGTGAGGATCAAACCCACGACCTCTTGGACATGGGCCCAGTGCCCTACCAACCAGACTATTCAGGCTCTATTAATTTATTTTGTTAAATCTTTAAAAGCCGTAGACCTCAACGGATGGAGAGACATTTTTTTAGTGTCTTTGTGGTATAAAAGCGCTGGCCCTGAATTCTTTGACGCAGAAAGACAAAAAACTATTTATTTTTTAAATTTATTGAAGAGTAGGTATAAAATTGTGCAAGGTAAAGCAGAGCATTAGAGCAGATACACAAGTTCATATTAAAAAACAAAATATTCAAAGGCAAAATATTGTCCATCCGCAATTAGCCGACCGTGTTAGAAGTTTTATAATGCAGTTATGCAAAATTCCAGTTGAGTCGCTTCGTATCACAATTTTTCGGGACCGAAATCAAGCATCACTGACTAAGTTAAGTGACCTAGGAAAAGACCACTTTAACACGTTGAACGCCATGGGAGTCACCGGTGACTGGCACTGAGTTTGTTTGTAGCTCCACGGGGGTCACCGGTGACCGGCGAAACCAAGATTATTAGAAACACATAATTCGAGTAAATTTTTAATTTTTTTATATAATTATCTTTACTAAAATGACTTGAAGAAATTAATGCAATATAGAACACACAAAAATAGTTTTATTTATATACACAGAAATGTCAACTTGCTCCGGACAGCGAATAAATATTTTAAAGTGGTAGTTTATTAATTGTGATTCTTGTTTTAATAAATTCAATTTAGTGGAGTTTTATCCACCACTACTTCTAAACAATTCGTAAGCTTAGATAGTTCACCACTTTTTCAGATATGTCATGCTAAACCTTTTAAAACTAGCAAAATCTGTCTAGTATTTGCAGTTTAGTTTGTAGATATTTATCGTTTGGCCAGACGGACAAGACATGTAAAATTAGCGTGTTAGCAACGTGTTAAGTAGCCCGTGAAGCGGGGGGCCCTCTCCTTCTGCAGATTATCGAAATTTTGATTATATGTCTTAGGATCTTCCTCATAATGTTTTCCAGACTGACGCCAATAGCCTCCACACAGTTTTTTACAGGTAGTCCGATCGGCACGATTCCAAATCCCAATGGTCCTCAGCCTATTGCCAGGGAATATTTGATTTTTCCCCTCATTCTCGGGAAAACGCTATTCTAAGCAATGACGTCAGAATTGATTTGTGCGTGCGCAACATGCCTTGTACTGTCCTGTGACACTGCCCTGCGTCTGCAAGGCTTTTCAACCGTTTTGTTTATTTTCATTTGAAACTGAGAGCGCGAAACGTCGTGGATTAATAATGCTATGAAGTAAGTAATTTATCATTTTCTTTAAACTTCTGTTTGTGATTGCAACTGATAAAATCTTTAAACATTTAAAGAGTATTGAATTTTATTCCTTATTATAAATGTTACTCGTGTCTTGCAATAATACACTATTAAAAGGTTTGAATAATGCTGTGCTGTGACGTTTTTCTTTTATGTCCCCAAAACGTTAAGTTTTAAATTGCAATATGTAAATTGTTTTTTTTTGACAACTTAATTTTGCTATTCACATCCATGTGTAAATTGTTAAGTTTATATTATGCTTCAGAAAAGAGATAATTATCAACTACTAACAGGAAGAGAAATTACTGTAGATATGGCACTAGTGTAGGCTACATGAAAAGTTTAAATTGCTTTTATACATTTTATTCTCATCATTACTTCTGATATGTATGAGAGTTTCGTATAAAAAACACATTAGTTCAGCAGCTATAAAACCAGTTGTTTTGGTTCAGAACTATGATATCTAAACAGAAGACTGTTTTATTGTT